CCCCAAAACCCCAAAACCCCAAAACCCCAAAACCCCAAACTATATTTAATTTATTGAAATTATTTGAATGGAAAACAAGAGCCTCAAGGTAAGTCAATAATAATATCTTTACAGCCTGATGATCTTTTCATTACTAAGGTCAAGACTTCAGCCCCAAAAATCGAGAAGAAACCGAGTGAGTAGTTTTACATGTTAACATCATTCATACTTTTGAACTTATTTTGAATAGAGTAAATTTGAATATAGCAATCAATAAAATAGCGAAACAGTTTTCAGCCATAGATCAGATCCCAGAACATAATCTTTTCCAAAGTAAGTCATCCCTGTCTTGGTAGCCTTGCTTTCTTCACAGAGATCCAAGAAGTTTTTGAATAAAATTTATTTCCTTAATTTCTTTACAGAATCAGAAATTAACACAGTTTCAAAACAAGATGATTCTTATGAGGAAAGAAAGAAGAAGAGAGCTAAGAGGCTAGAGAAATGGAATGTCTTAATAGAATCCATAGATTTTCGGCCTAAGGATCGTAAGCCTCTTCGTATTAAATGTAGATTCTTACTACAGAAATCTCCCAATAAAGCCAGGAATTGATATCTACAGAGCAATTATTGATTCGAAACTGCCATTCTCCAGATTAAAAGTGAAAATTCATGAAACCTTGGCTACATTTGACAAAATATACTGGATTGGCTATAACTACCAAACAGGGACAAGCTTCTTAAGAGAAGTTGACGATTGGAATGCGACACCAAAAATAATTGATAGGAATACTCTCACTCCTGATACTGAATGAAATGGATATGTAGACACTTTGGAATACATCGACACAATTTACTATAAGAACTATGACCTCAATCGGGACCAAGACCCTGCATGAATCACAAAGTGATGGGATAGCTATCCGAATACTGAACAAATCGAGGTCCTATCATGGGATAAGCTTAAGCAGGGTTATTCTGATGGGCCTCCAGCTCCTGGTATCATGCAGAAGTACATTAGCTCTCCCACTAACAAAGCAACGATGTACAGAGTGGTTTTCCATAATCCTAATAACTCAAATACAAAAGCTGATTTTGGATTTTGCCTCTCAAACAAGAAGAACTATTATGATCCAGGAGCAATGATGGAGGAGAGATTTCTCCATGTTTCTGAGAGAGTTGGATCATTTAATGTCTATAAGATTGCAGGGAAGATCGTCCAGGAGTTCAGTCAGTACGCCTACAACCTTTGTCAATTCATTGAACGTAGCCACTCTTTAATGATAGAAAACATGGTCGTTGATTTCCTCAAAGATGAATATGGCAACATATTCTTCATCAATGTAAAAAGCTTTAAGCTTGTACATGCTCAAATGTATAATGAGCTAGCTTGACTGACATATGAGCAGAAATAACAACAGAAGATTGGAGATTAAAGACAGAGCCAATAAGGCTAATAACACAGTACAGTGCACATTTTGAAGGATCAACTTCAAGTAAGCCATCTGTCTCACCTGTGTAGGAACTGTGAAGTTACTAAAATTGTTAGTATGAACATGCTGTTTGCCTTAAAACAACATCTGAACAAACGAGGAATCTTTAAATTTGAATATCTAGAAAGGTTCAAAGGATGTCAGCTCAGCTGCAAAGTATGCGATTTATGATATCTTCTGGTCGTAGCAGAACATGAGCTCATTGAAATTGAGAAACTATTTTGTAAAGCCCTTAACATTCCCATAAAAGATGAAAATGAACCTCCTTCGAAACAAGCTCAAGCAATGGTTGAAATCGTAAAAGGAATGGAATCTAGAAAAATTAATTCAAATCGTTTCAAAGATCATCTTATGCAGTGGAGAATTTTATTTTTCTTCCAAGATTTGCAAGACAAATCCCTGCCTGAACTAGGAAAGGAATCTAAAAAGGGAAAGGTGTATATCCACATAAAATTATTTGATTTTATAACTTCAATCCTCATCTTTGATAAAAATACTTATCAGCCGGTTCCTGTGAGGCAAGGGAAGATCATAAATATGACGCCTGCAACCTTGTCACCTGTTCGGAAAATTGAAACGAGCAAATCAAAAATGGAGAAAGTAATGACCTTCACTGGAGGAGTTACAACAAGAAATGTTGATGAAGAGAGAATAGACTTCAGATTCACAGACAAGACAGAATACCTTCTAAAGAAAATGAAGATTCACTTCTTTTTCAGTGAAAAAGATGCAAATCTCGAGAAATTCCTCAAGAATACAGAGATAGAAATTAGAATTACTGATGGTCCCAGCTGGAAGAAAGTCATGTATAAAGCAACATGATCACCATTTACATTGTTTAGAGTAAGTTTATACAATCATAGTAGAATGATTTCAACACTTCTGAAGACCTCATCAAAAGACAGCAGTTTTTACTTTGCTTCACCAATGAAGAGTGTCAAAAGCCCTTCTACTCGACTATGACAGTAGGCTTAAAGAAAGACAGACAGGTGAAGGCAGAAAATATAGACTTATACAAATATGGTCTTGTATATTTCCCAAATCCTGATTATTATAATTCTGATCCTTTACCCATGGAATGGCTTGAACTTTTCGAAGACTATAAATAAGCTCAGAGAGCACTACAGTACTTTACATGTAGATAAATTTAGATGAAAACAAAGAGCTAAAGAAATACGAAGATCTATTACGAGAAGAGTTAGAGATAAATAATCCAAACTACTCATATACCAAAAAGAGAAGACTCTCTACTCCAAACATAGATATAAAATCCCTTAATGCGAAATCAGGCAAATCCAGGACATCTACTGGGGTAATCAATAGTGTAAGTCTTTTCATGAATTATTTTAGCCCAAAGAATCCTCTGAATCAAATAAGATCATGTTCAACAAGAACCCAGTGTTTTCAAAGTAAACATTTGAACCAATTTCTTTAGCCTTCGGAAGAACTTAATAATGAACTTTATGCCATCAGAAAGGTAAATAGGCAACCTAATCAATAGACAACTCAAAATAACATATGAAGAAGAGAAGAGCCCTAGTAAGTTAGAAACCATTGTCGGCCAAAAATCCTCCATGGTTGAGTCAGAATCGAAAGGGCCAGACCAAGAACCAAAGCCTAAGAAGAAAATTTTAGTACGAAAATAAAACCATAGAAAGGCCTATGACCAGTAGGCAATACTACATCAGGCCGATCTCTGGCTTCAGGAGGTCACTTAGAGATGATTCAGTTGACACAAATGAGATGTCGGCCAAGTATAATAATTACTTTGCCAATGATATCCCAGAGAAAACAGAGAACGTGAAAAGACTCAGGATCAAGAAAAGAAGAAAGAAGAGAAGAAAGCCAGCCCACAAATGGACTCAAAGGGAGATTTATGTGACTAAAAATAAATCTTCTCTACCTCCTCTAGCTGGAGGAAAATGTACAAAAGATCTCAAAAGTATGAAAAGTCTTAAAACTGCTAGAAAAGCATCAGTTGAGAAGGAAGCGGTATAGCTTGTTTTTATCTATAGGCCACAACTAACTTCAACGCTTCAACCAAGCATTCTAAAAAGGATCCCTCTCACATCAGGTAGACCTCTTCCTAACCTTCGTAGAAAGAATATATCAACTATTACCAGTAAGAAACTAGCGACAACTTCTATTAAGAAGGCTAAGCATAGGAGGATATTTAGTGCAAGATAAATTTATTGTTCAATTGTTATATATTATTATGGGGTTTTGGGGTTTTGGGGTTTTGGGGTTTTGGGG